GAATTTTAAATAATTAATTTGATACGAATATCGATATATTTTTGTTATGCATAAAATACTGTATATTGATGCTTATTACTTAAAATTCAAGATTACAAGTAATTATGTATAAGTACAACTTATTAAAGTTCGATGTTTGAATTCGTATAAATAACTGCGGATAAACATAATTAAATAGATGATGAACATCTCATTTTAAAATATAAAAAATCTAAAATATAATTATAATAATTATCGAATTCCAACAAAATAAATAATTATTATCTTTATAAAAAAATTATATTATTAAACCAAATATAAATTACTTCGTTATTGTATATAAATTAAATTATAAAAAAATTGAATTAAAAAATTACACAAAAAAATGAGGAATTTCAAATAGTTAATTTGATACTAATATTGATATATTTTTGTCAAATTTTTATGATATCTTCAAACATATCTTTTATTAAAAAAAAAATCATCGCTTTCTCAAAATCACATAAAGCCATATTATAACATCGACTGATATAAAAAATAAAATAAAATATTTAAATTACAATGTATGTCATTGCATTGCGCAAGTATGCTTCTAATATCTTACAAATACCATTGTATTGCGCAAGTATGCTTCTAATATCTTACAAATACAATTGCTAATGAAAGACTATTTAGAATAACATAAAGTACCGTGTGTAGATGTTGTTATAATTTGGAAAATTTTGGTAGCCAATAAGAATTGTTAAAAGTTTGATTTAATTATGTTTTATTTATTAATTTATTTTAATTATTTATTACCTTTTTTTTTTCAAAAAGTTATTTTACCTTTTTGTCCCCTTTTCCGGTCAAATCTAGTTGAATTAATAAATAAAATATATAAATTACATGTTTCGTCCTTATAGTTATATGTTTTTACGGACAATTCTTATTTTTAAAAAATATTAACAGATCGTATTTTTGTGGTTGCGTTTTTTAACAGTTTACATTCCTATGGTTACAAAACTTATAATGAGTTGGGTTCTTGTGGCTGTATTTTTTAATGAGTTCGGTCTCTAAATAAATCAACGACTTAGATCTTTGTGGTTGCACCAGGTAAAGGTGCTCAAAAACCCGATCAACCCAACGCAAAATAACTTAACCGGAAACAACTCGATGTCTAATCGAGTTGTAAATTTTCAAACCATAGATGTTTGATTGATATAGGGTTGTTATTATTGAACCCAACCCAACTCCGTTGAACCCTATATTCTTTTATTTATTTGATTTAATATGATTGTTGAATTTCTATTAATATATATACATTAGACAATTAACTATCATGTATATTATTCATATACACATATTTTTAATCTATTCACATCTTTATATAACTTATTCTGTCATTCATATATATGTTCAGTAACTGTGAACATATGTAAATTGAGAAAATTAACTGAATGTGATATATATAAGAAGTATGGATAAGTTGTATCAAATAATTAATGATGAAAAAGAAATTATGAGTAGAAAAATAACATATTCAAAGTTAGAAGAATATTTTAATGTACCAACATATCAACCCGACCAACCGGTATGGATTGGGTTCGGTTAAGATTTTTTAAACCGCAAACATTGGGTTAAGTTGTTCAAATATCTTCAATTCAATCAATCAAATCCACAAGCACCCCTAACCACAAAAGACAAAGTATGTTAAATTCTCAGAAAAGCGATTATAACCGTTAAAAATGTATAACGATGCACATGGATGAAACATGTAATTGACTCGCAATAAATTTGATACTAAAAGGTATCATATTCGAATATAAATAACTAATAATTTATAACGTATATTGTTTCAGTTGTATTTAAAATTTAAATTATTATTTAATTCAATAAAACAAAATCCCAACAAATAATATAGATAATTAATTTAATATTTATTTGCAACAGTGTTCCTCTTAATTAAAATTTAAACATGATTTTATTAGATTTGAATAAAAAAAATATTCGAAAAACAAAAATTGTTAATAATAATTTATAAGTGATATATATATATATATATATATATTATATCAGGTTTAGTGAAAAATCGTAAAAAAAATTAAAAACTGAGTAACACCCTAATAATCGTTCATCTGAATGGTGTGCATATAAGTAATTTGTAAGTAATTTGACCGGTATGCACATATCCATAACATACACACATGCATAAAACCAAAAAACAAATTTAATTATTTATATGCACAATTGAATACAGTTCAGATAAATGGTCACTATATAACAAATTAACTATGATGATCTTTCATAAATATTACACTTATATAAATAATCATCATCATTTTTCATAAATATCTCAATTGTTTGATTTATATAAATTAAAAGACTTGCAAATGATCAAACTTATATATAATATATATATATATATATATATATAGTAACATATACAACATATTATATATATATGTTTATTATACATACATATATAGATATAAAAAGATGAAGAGTTGCCCTTGTAAGATTTGTGGCCTCTCTCTCTCCCCTCCCGGCTCCATCTCTGTCTCTCTCTCTAAAAGGGGTGTTGGTGTAATCAAGATCAAAGATGCTCAGATCAATCAGATCCACCTGGTTAGTAACTTCTTCCACTTATTATATCCATACAATTAACTCAATATATATATATAAACACACATATATATATATATATATATTTTGTGTGTGATCTCTCTCTCTCTCTCTATATAGACTTGAGATCTCGTAAAACCAGTCTGTTATGAAACTTCACAACAAAACACTATGAAAATAACTTTCACAGTATTTTTGTTGTAAAAGTTCATATTTTTTTGCCATCACATGTAAAGTTTCAAGTATAAAAAAGTGATTTCACGGATCTTACAAAAATAGTATGGTTTCACGTAAAATCAACCATATATATATATATAATGAAACTGATATAATAGTTTTGGGTTGTGATGAAGCATCTCTACTTCAAGAGGAATGGTTGCTCCAAGTTCCTGGTTAAGAAGCTTCTCTTCTTCTCACACTCTAAGGTACAATTATAAAATATTGATTGATTATATGAATTTTTTTTATTTTTAAATTATTAAAGAATTTTTTTTATTTTTAAATTATTAAAGAATTTTTAACAGATTTTAAAAAAAAATATAGAGAATTTAAGAATTTTAGACGGCTAGTTTTTTCTCTAAAATTGTTTGAAAAACGTCTCAATAAATAAATAAATAAATAAATATATATATATATATATATATATATTATATGTCCAACAATATGAAATATTGAAGTTAAGATTTGGGATCTCTTAGACCGGTTTGTTTTCGTAAGACTACTTTTTTACACTTAAATTTCACAGCAAAATACTGTGAAGGTAACTTTCAGAGTGTTTTTGTTGTCAAAGTTCGATTTTTTTTTTCTTCATAGCTTTTTGCTGTGAAGTTTCAAGTGTAAAAAAAATGGTCTCATAAAAACATATTGGTCTCACGTGAACCCAACCCTTGAAATTAAATATTTATGAGAGAAGGACTATATGTTTACAAAATGTATGAAATATTTTAGTACTATAATCAATGTTATAATTTCTAAACTGGAAAATCTGTTGAAGTTGAATGTAATTTCATTTTGGAGATTATGTATTTTGATTATCCATTTTGGAGAAATTTTCGAGAATCTCTTGGAAATGCTCTGACAGATGATCCAAAATATAGAAAATGAAGATTTTTATATTTTATTCCAACAAATTATCTATATTGTTCTCTAAAATATAGAAATAAAAAAAACTCTAAATTTAAATAATTCTCTAAAACTCGATATAAATAAAAAAATAATTTTTTATTAATTAATTAAACTATTATAATTTTATATAAAAAAATATAATTATTTTTAAAAAATTTAAAATAAAAAAATAAATTATTTTTTAATTATTTAGAAATTATATAAAATCTGCTAAAAAAGCTATTATTATATTTGCAAAAATAAAAATTAAAAAGGATGCATGTGATGTGAGCACTGATCCAGTCATGCTTGTCTGTAGTTTATAGACCACTTGTGAGCAAAAAGGGGTCTTTTTATATTCTGATTACCTAATATTTATTTAGGGTTGGGTTCACGTAAGATCATATTGTTTTCATGATACACTCTTTTTATATTTAAAAACTTCATAGCAAAATATCGTGAAGGTAAAAAGAAGCCGAATAGTCACAGAAAAAATGTTGTGAAGGTTACTTACCTTCACTGTGTTTTGCTGTGAAGTTTCAAATGTAAAAAAGATGTCTCATGTGTCTCACGAAAACAGTCTGGTTTCACGTGATCCCAAGTCTACTTATTTAATAAGCTTACCGGTAAAAGTTATTATTCTTACTTACCTTATCGGATAACATTTTCTATCATGAGATTGATAGTAGGTGTTTATCATTTGGTAAACAACCCCTTAATATGTTAAAATTGAAATTTTATTTTATATTTTCAAGATATTAATTGATCTAAAATAATTTATTTAGCTTTTTTGGAATTGTAACTTTTGATTTTCTATTTTATAAAAGTTATAAAAAATCTGTTGAAGATGTTTTAACCAGATAAAAATCACTAAACGACCCATAAATATGCAATGATGCATTGATATATACTTGTAGGTGCTCTAAAATAAAATATTTATCTTATTAACCACAGGCTAGAAGGCAAAATAGCATTGATCACCGGAGCAGCAAGCGGCATAGGCAAAGAAGCTGCCACGAAATTCATCGACAACGGTGCCAAGGTGGTGATCGCCGACATCCACCACGAGCTCGGCCACGCCACCGCCACCGAACTCGGTCCAAACGCCTCATTCATCTCCTGTAACGTCACCAACGAATCCGACATTGCCAACGCAGTCGATTTCACCGTATCCAAATATGGACAACTTGACATCATGTATAACAACGCTGGGATACCATGTCGGACCCCACCATCTATAGTTGACCTCGACCTCAACACGTTCGACCGGGTCAACTCGGTCAATGTTCGAGGCCTCCTTGCTGGAGTAAAGCACGCCTCACGGGTGATGATTCCCCGTGGACGTGGGTCCATCCTATGCACCGCAAGCGTGACCGGGGTATTAGGCGGGTTGGCCCAACACACATATTCGATATCCAAGTTCACCGTCATCGGGATCGTGAAGTCGTTGGCATCAGAGCTTTCTCAACACGGCGTTCGGATCAATTGCATATCGCCTTTCGTCATTCCAACGGCATTTGTGATGGAAGAAATGAAAGGATACTTCCCGGATCTTGAAGTTCACGAGATCGCATGTATGGTGCGGAATGTAGGTGAATTCAAGGGATCTTATTGTGAGCCAGGAGATGTGGCAAATGCCGCCGTTTATCTTGCTTCCGATGACGCCAAATACGTCAACGGGCATAACCTGGTGGTTGATGGCGGTTTTACATCCACCAAAGCCATCAAGTTCAGTGTACCGAATAAAGATCACTGAAAACAATGGACCTTTGGTTAAACGACATCTGACACACTTTTTCAATATCAATAACCTTCTAACAGTTTTGAGAATGGTCTTTATTTAACAGAAGAATGTCTAAAAACCTGCTAAAAGGTCATGGATTTAAAGAACAGTTGTCAGGAGGTCATTTAGCTACATAACCCAGAAAAACAAGAAGAAGAATTTGCAAACTCCAAAGATTAATGGCATATTACAGATTTCTCAACATTTTGATTCCAAGAAAGTAAAGCACACAGTTTTATGAACTCCATTTTATTGCAAACTAGAAGTCAAGAGGTCTAAGACTATATAATAGAAGAGAAGTTAGCTAACCGTTGCAGCCGACTCGATGGTCATCTTCCGCACCACCGCCTTGAATTGGCTGAAACCATGGTTCAAAATCACAAATTTAGCAAGTCGGAAACATGTGTGTATATATATGTATATATGATAATTTACAATTCCCATAAATCGTATAAACTTACAAATTAGTTTTCATGTACTGTTTAACATATGAAATGACATGTGTGAAAATGCAGTGTTTACACAATGTTGTTTCATATGTGAAGCATTGAGGATTGTTATGTGAAACATTCAAGATTTTTTTGTGTAGGGGAAAAATAGGAGATTTTTAGGTATATAACCTTAAATGAAATTTTGATTAAATCCATGACCTTCTAACGAGTATAAACCCATTTTGTCTTATATAGGCCACGAATTAAAAACTCATTTAAGGTCGTTTACCTAAATGACTCAAAAAACAGTCCCAAACCTTTCACATATGAAAGAACACTTCATAAACACTGTATTTTCACTTGTTTGATATATAAAATAATATATGAAAATGACTTGTAAGTTTGTACAAATTATCGGGTCTCTAAAAGAATGAATCTCCTCTCTCTCTCTCTCTCTATATATATATATATATATAGAGAGAGAGAGAGAGAGAGGTGGTTTCATTTACAAATCCAACCATTAGTATAAACCAATCTCAACCGTTCATCTAGTATAATGAATATATGATTCAATGAATATCTCGATTGTTTCCTAATATAAAACATTGATCATAATAATAAACTCTGATAATCTTCTACAAATATCAAAATTATACTAAATAAACTCTCATCATTTCTATAAATATCTACATTAATTGGATTGTATGGTTTGTACTAATGGTAGAGTTTGTAAAAGATCTCTCCTCTCTCTCTCTCTCTCTCTATATATATATATAATTATATAGATGATATACAGATTTAATAGGTACTTACGACCACAAGCGATCACCAAGCAGCATTTTGTTGCCATATCCATCTGCAAATGTTACTACCCATCCACTAGTTCCACTGACCAACCTTCCATCAAACTCGAACATCCTGTCAAGCTCAACGATAAGACCTTCATACCCAATAAAACGCGAGAGCTCTACGGATCTTCCAAGAGCGGTTCCATGCTTCAGAACCTAGGACATTCAAAAATTAGACCATCTTCACTAATTGTATAAACCAGATCAAACCAAACCAAACCAACCCAGTATATCCTATTTGAAGGTAGGGTCTGGAAGGTAAGATGTATGCACACTTTACCTTTGTCTCAAAAGACACATATACCCCCGAGTTGTGTAAAAGGTAAGTGAAACAAATATAAAGCACAACCGAAAGCTACAAATGTCAGGAAAAAGGGGGGTTTTGAGGGTTATAAAAGAATGCAAAGATCCTACTTCGCAACAAAAAAGCACACAAAACACATCAAAGAAATTACCCATATGAAGACCCACAACTTGTATAACAAACCCAGTATATCCCACCCGAAGGTAGGGACCTGGGAGTATGATATATGCAGATTTTACCTCTGTCTCAAGAGACAAAAATGTTGTTTCCGAGAAGACCCGCTTGCAAATCACTTGCTTTCTTCCAAATCACTAGAGGTTCATCACTTTCCAAAATTAGAAAAATGAAATCAAATAAAGCAACTACCATTGTTCTCCTTCCCATAATAAGTGCAAAGTTGTATTTCTCATATACATATAGTTCAATAAAAATGGAGACAAACAGCAAATAGGCGACGTGAGGTTGCTTACTTCTGCGAAGCCTCGATTCTCTTTTCTAATTTCTTTTTCTCACACTAATAACCTGTTAAACCTAACTAAGGGCATGTTTGTTAGCAGCTTAACGAGTTTAATGCAACTCACAACTTATTCGGTCAGCTATACACATGACTATTTGGTAGTGGCTTAATGATATAGAAAGTGGGTGGCTAATTCATTGAGCTTCTAATGGGAGCTTTATACAGAAAGCCAAGTTTTTTTCTATACATTCCCCTCCCAATGAAAAGACACGTTCTTTCCGTCCATGAAAGCTCTCTCCCAAACAAAAGCCTTCTCGCTCTATACAAACGGATTAATCCACAGAGACAACTTTATAAATTTGGCAAATACGAATTGACTTAGAACTTAGAGGCCAGATGAAACAAATATAGGGATTCAATACGAAAAAACAAACAGTAAACCTTTTTTGAGGATCAAAATCCATAAAGATTGGAATCGTAAGGCAGAGGAAGCAAATCCAGAAAGGGTTCAGTACGAAGAAGAGACATTAAATCCTTCTTGAGGATGATAATCATGAAAATTGGAATTACAATCTTCACAAATTTCTCAAATTCTAACTCACTGCCCCCTTAAACCCTGATAAAACCCTAGATGATTCAAACGTTACAAATGACTTAAAGAAATTACGGAAAACAATTGATGGCTTCGTTGATTACCTTGTTCTGAGAATCAGGAATGAGTGAAAATGATTTCCGATGATTGGAATCAGGATATGAGTTTCTCGCCGGCCATGGATAACCGAAGTCCTTGCCATTCCGGTTGTGGTTCTGCCGACTACAGGATTCACAAACAATTTTGAGGAAAAATCAGTTTTTCCCTCAATTTTCTTTCAATTAATTCGAACAATGAATTTTTTTGTTTGATTTTAGTAATTAACATATAAAGTTTTAAACATTTAAGTACTTGGGTAATCGGTTGAAGTATTAACCGATTATCATGTTAACATGGCGAGTGATGTGGTATCCAACTTAGTATTATTTGCTGATATGGTTAGTGACAATAATTTTTTTAAATCTAAAATTACCCGGGTACTTAAAAATGTTTAAAACTTTACATATTAGGTATCAAAATGAAAGTTCTGAAAATACATTACTCAAAATATGAATCAAGTTAAAGTACGTTACTTTTTCATACAATTTGCCCTTTTACAAACATATAAGAAAAATTAATCGAAATTTTATGTAAATGTTTTAAGTATTTATGTAAAATATATGAAATGGTTAACCAAAATAGCCGAATTTATGTAAGGGTCTTAATAGTTTTATTAAGATGCGGCATTTGAATCGCTAAAATGTGATCTTATTTTGGCAAAAAAAAACGACTTTTAATTATTCTAAAACCCTTTGAATGATTTTGTAACTTGAGCCTCCCTTAACCATTCAGCAACCTAATTTCATTTTGAATAATTACCAAACAATTATATTTCATTTGCACTATATTATAAGAGTCTCTTAATCATTCTGTACTAAATTATTCAGCAACTGTCAAACAACCCATAAATATCTTATGTATTTACATAAACCATATTTTAAGATTAAATTTTTTTACGTAGATGGGGATCATTATGTAAATTCACGTAAAGATTTTTTTTTCAAACTAACAAATCGAGTTTGACTAAAATGAGAATTCTATTGAAAAAATAGTTAAAAGGTGAATTACGTTGTGAAAATTGACTGTTTTTGTCTATTTTTGCTTGTTTAATTTATAATTGATGGGTAAATATGTAATTTTATAGTATTTTAATTGCTTTGAAAGAAAAATCAGTATTATTTGCTTTCCTTTATCCTTTAAAATCTCGAGAATACACAGGTTTTTCTTTCCCCTGTTTTCATCTCCTTTTAACTCGTTAAAAATACCTGAGAACATGGCATAAATTAGAGATCGGTTCAGATAAACATAGACTGATAAAATAATGCAGTTTTTCATTATCGGGTCAACATCTCAGTCAAAATATTTGTGGGTCAGCAATATCCCTTCTTACCGGGTAAACATGATGGTCAAAAGGTGATAAACAATCCATTTGTTCAATAACGATGTAACCCCAACTCCTCAGGGCAATTTTAACAAGTCATATATAGAATTCAGTATCTACAGATAGTTAAATATTTATGGGTTGTTTGTTTCAATTTTAACAGTTTCATTAAGAGGCAACCTCTAGATTGTTAAGAGGTGAATCTTGTTTGACAAAAAAAAAAAAACTGTCTCTTAATGGTTCTAAAACCCTCTGAATTATTTTGTAGTGTGGGCTTCCCTTAGCCATTCATTGCCCTAATTTCATTGTCAACAATTACCAAACAATTATATTTCATTTTAGGGAAAAGTACAATAAAAACCAATGAACTTTCTTGTTTGGAATGATTAAGTCCTTGAACTTTTTTTTGGAACAAATAAGTCCTTGAACTTTTTTTTGGAACAAATAAGTCCTTGAACTTTCCAAAACATGTTAAATAAGTCCTTGAACATTCCAAAATATGTTAAATAAGTCATTGGACAATTTTTGGAACAAATAAGTCCTT